GTCGTTATTGAAATGGAATGCTTGTATGGCATCCTGGATAACATATTTATAGTTCTCTGCGAAATCGTATGAAATAACGAATTCGCCTGCCTTCAAATGTACCTTCAAATTTTCGCATAATGACCACTGCTCCTTGACTAGAAAGTCATGGGTTCTCAAGTTTACCAATCCGGTACACCGTTTTCAACGTGCACCTTTCAGACTACAGCCAAGGTTGAAATTTGACCTCCTCCACAAATTCCCGGTCAAAAGACTAGATCAAATTCTCTTTGATGAACGTGATTCCCGGCCAATTTAAGCATTCACCCATGTGGCAAAAAGTTGGTGCATTAGGACACATTGTCAATTTAACGAAATCACCGTAACTGTTTAAATCTTCCGGCAAATCATTTGTTAAATAATTCAAGTTGATTTCCTTCAACATCAGCTTCAAATTTTCATGATAAATGCAAACGCATACTGTATGAGTTCCGCTGCTTCCTGCCAAAACGCAATGTTTTGGCCTGAGCTGGGTAAATTTTGTGAATCCAATTTTAATATCCTCGTGATCGGATTGAAAGCTCGCGAATAGCTCATTCAGGTTGCAGAGAATTATCCTCTTCTGCATTTGAACCTTCATACCGTCAATTCGTACAGACACCCAGTCTTTCATCCCTGGCATCAGGCGACTAGTCACTAGAGCTTCAGTTTTGCACTCTAAAGGCTTTCCTTTCTTTGCTTTTGGGAGTGTGAGTATGCCATGCTCTGCAACTAATTTTTTAGCAATCCTGGCTTTTCTTTCTGATGTTCCAAACTCAGCCATTGTTTTTGCGCGACTCCATGTCGGTGGAGCAAGCGTGAGAAGTTGAATTTTTTCTGCTCTACTAGTTGAAGTTTTGTACTTTTCTTTTATTTGCTCAAGTACTTTTACTGCATCCTTGTGGTATTGGTTTTGGCACTCATCCTTTGAACTCATATTTTCTTCAGTAAAGTTGGAGCCATCGTCATCGGAAATTCGGTCATNTTGAATTTGTTCTGCTCTACTAGTTGAAGTTTTGTACTTTTCTTTTATTTGCTCAAGGACTTTTACTGGATCCTTGTGGTATTGGTTTTGGCACTCATCCTTTGAACTCATATTTTCTTCAGTAAAGTTGGAACCATCGTCATCGGAAATTCGGTCATCATTCTCAGAATCATTATCGTCTCCATCTAGAATAACGTCTTCACAAGGCTCGTTACTTTTCGAAGCCGGTAATTCCTTAAATTTGCTTAGCTCTTTCCTGCACGATCCACAAATTCGGATCCGTTTTGATAACGTAGGGAATTTTGATATTAAGCCGTCAGAAAGCCGTCGTGTATCTGAAGATACGTGTTTTTTGTTGAAGGGATTAAAGCAAAAATTTCTTTATCAAGCTTAGCCTTTTTATGAGCCATAGCCATTGAAAATATTAATTATGTAAATAACACACGTCTTTATTTTAATACTGTTTCTAAAAAACTGGTCTTCAGAATGACCATACACTGCCTTCATAAACTATAGCTGATTTATTATAGCAACTTTTAGGTTACGCGAGTAGGTATGCATATTTATTGAGAAAGGGTTTGGTACAACGAAAAATCTTAATCATCCTTAACTACCGGGAAAACCTATCTTCTTCATACTTTTCAAATATTGTGCTAGTAGGTGTGCAAATA